ATGTAACCTGTACGCCAAGCACTTGCCAAAAGCAGTGTACAAATCGCTCTATTTGTGATGCTCGCATGCTCACAGCAACTGATTAGAACAAAGACGGATATAGTTAGTTGGTGACTGCTGTGGTGTGCGATGTCAGTGTTAATATGAGAGGCAAGTGTGAGTTTGAAGAGTGTGTCAGTCAGCTAACCTTAATGCAAGAAGCGCTATCGATGGAGAAGCTAAGACTTAACGGTTAGCATTGTTAGTACCTCAACGGCTCATGCAGTGGGTTAGCCTGTTCCGAATCGCTCAAACTGGGTAGTGACCTGCGTCGGAAGAACCATGAAAGGTGTGGTTCGGTTTGGTGCTTCGCCACTGAATTCGGTCCAAATGACACTTCTCGAAAACGTTCCAATTTGTCCAGCTGCCGCCTCAGTTGCTCCATATACGCTGATAATGTTTCGTCATCTAACTGAAACAATTTACTTCAGTAAAACGAATCATCCGAATGGTACGTCAAACGTTTGATTAGAACATGTGAGAATGCTCATCAAGTACACTGCGTTCATTCATAACGAAGTGAACGGGGAAACGGACCTTATGCATATAGCGAAACTTGCCGGCACTTGCCGACAGTCTATTGTACACGTAGTTCGGATCTCCATCTTGCGGTTCTGCTGTGTCGCTTTCAATTTTTTTGATCAAATCCTTGTCATCAGTACTTGTCGAAGATCTTCTCTTCCTGTTCAACGCGCTGAATCGACCTTAAATTCAAGATTAAACTTTGCCGATGATAGGCAGAGTTTAAGATCACTGCTACAGTTGATGATGATCCGCACTCAAACTGAATATCTACAGATCTGTTTTTGTAGAATTTATTCAACAGTTGTGATTTTAATGCGACCAATAGCGCTTATCGAAAATTTTGCATAGATTTTGCGTGAGATTTTGATCTTTAGATGAAGTATGAAATAGTGAATAGTGAAATGGAAATAGTAAAATTTCAATGAGCATTGAGGGAACCATGAGAGACGATTGGAATCAAATGTGCACGGAAAAGGTTGAGAAGTTTGTAATTAGTAAGAATGTTACGCATACATAAATCAACTCACTTCTACTCAGACTTCGAGATGGTTTCGCACGTCTGAATGTTTCTGGACTTGTAATACCACTCTGCAAATATTCAAATCTTCAAGTAGGCTTCATGAGTGAAGAGGATGATGAAAAAATATCTTTAAAATTTCAAATATACATATGGTAAAAAGTTAAAATTAAACTGCCGACGACTCACTCGAATTTTTCGGCAGATTTCGATTTTTTCAGCAGCGTCCAACTTTTTCTGAATATCAGCCAACTTTGCAAGTTGTGTTTCTCTATTGCGTAGCATCATATCCATCATCATGTGATGTCTTGCGTACAGTTGATTTTCATCGCAATAATCTTCACTGTCGTCACCTTGCAACTGCA